TTTACATTTCAACTTCCTTCACTATCCAGGATATACTACACTATTTTGGTTCTGTATTTGTTTTTATTTCTTGCATATAAGACTATCTATAAGGAAGATAATAAGTAAGACTACTGTTTTGGACCAAGTACCATCACATAATACGATTTCAACGAACATTGCAAGATAAGACTTTCTCCTTTCATCCATTGATTTTATCTGGACTTCTCATATTATTTAAAGTTTTATCCAAGCGCAGCCCTTTCTTGTATTTTTTACCTTTCTGTGTTTTATCTAAGGGTTTTTGAGGGATTCCCTTACAGGGTTGCTGCTAATCTGTGTTATTAAGCGCTTACTCATTGTTCTGGTTTTATTTGAGAATGTGTGTTGTGTGCGCAATATGTTACGCATTACCTCTTCATACATCCTAGTATTACAATGTTTCTCCAGTACCATTTTTAAGAGAAGAGGTTCTGTGTTGGAAAATTTGGAAAATGCTGCTCTTGTTTTGTGTTTCTTGTTTGATATGGAACAGAGCCTGTTTCCATTGATCTGGTGTAAGATCTTCTTGTAATGTTAAAGGTCATCAGAGGTTTCGATGTGTGTCCTTTAGATCTGCATCATTGTCCAAAAAGTCTAAGTTACTGAAGTCAGTAGGTCTTATTTTAAGGGTAGATATGATGTGTTTAACTCTTAGGAAAGTAAAGTTTTCCTTATTGGGTAAATTGAAAGTGTTTTGTAGGGTTGGAAACGCCAACTTACCAGTGTTATCGATCAATTGCATGATTTAAAGATACCTGTTGCTTGCCACGTTTGCAAGGACAGGTCTGCAGTATAATTTTGAAGGCATTGGAGTAGAACATAGAGCATAGAGCAATTTGTGATTTGGTCTCAACAATTTGGTAGCCCATTTTTTCCATGTGTCTATGGAGAGTTTTGTTGTCGGCAAGGGATTTATATTTTGGGGTTGTAGGTGAGGTGGGATCCACATTAAATGGAGCATGCAGTGGGGAGCTAATGTTTTGTGTTCTAATAAGTACCATAGATGGTATTGTTTGGAGAGACCCTAATTGTGCTAAAATGGTTGCCACACAGTATTTCTTTATATCCGGTACTCCGAGTCCCCCTTTATGAAGCCTAAAGGACATAATTTGAGTGGATATTCTTGCATTTCCAAATATGTGTGTTAAAAATTGCTTGAAAACATGCCAGTATAGAGTTGGGGACTTCAATAGGTAGTGTCTTAAAAAGAAACAAGATTTGTGGAAGTATCATCATTTTCAAAGAGTTAATTTGGCTGATATCATCTTTCTACCTGTACATAGTATGTTCTAGGTTGGATAGCAGTTTTAGATGGTTCTTCTGAAGTAATACATGTCAGGAGGCTGCTAACTGTATGCCTAGAAATGTAATGGATTTTGTTATCCAATCAAACTGGTATTGCTCGGTAATCTCCTTACTTAGGCATTTATGTGGCAATGCCTGTGTTTAGAAGACATTTCTATATTATTTTAGTAGCTCCTTTAAGAGTGGTAACAGCTCTTTAAGAGCTTGAGAAAGATTTCTCTGAGATTGAAACGTTGCACTTGTTACCAATAAATCTGCTGTTGAATTGAATCCTGTGTGCCTGAACCATATCTTTGTTCAAACAGTGCAGTGGGGACAGCCAACCCCAGGTCTGGCAGCACCTGGATCTCAACAAGAGTGTGGTATTCCTCCTTTTTTCCTAATATATCCTTGTATATGTGGCATGCATGTTTGAGAAGTATGTGTAATCTCTGGATGATGGTTATAAAGTGTGCCAAGAATCATGTAGGTCATATTTGTGAAAGAGTTGGCTTAATTTGGCAAATGATTGGGTTTTTCATTTGGTGGTCGGGGTCCTAGTATATAGTATGGGATCTAAAATGTGGTTGAAATCACCACAGATCTATAGTTGTCCTCGATGTATTTCATGGATTTTCCAGAGAGCTTTCCTTATGAAATCTATTTAATTAGTGTTTACATGTTAACTATTATTAGGGGAATGTTATTTTGGGTGCCCACCAAAATCAGCAGTCTATCCTATCACTGTATTCTTTTATACACTTGAAATGTAAATCTCTGTGGAAGAGGATGCTCACTCCTCCTTTTTTTGTTGGCAAATGCGTGGTATGCTTGGGAGTAGCGATGAGAGGAGAAAGTTGGATCGTTGAGGACGCAAAAGTGGGTTTCCCGGCTGCAGCCTATGGCAATGTTAGGGCTTGGAGAAGGCAGAGGGCCAACCTGTGTTTGTGGGGAGAAGTGAATCCCTTAGAATTTAGGGAAATTATGTAAAATACATTAGTCCTTTTGATTGTGTAGGGTTAGGGTGCAAGGCAAACTTGTTATCACATTGACATGTTATATCCCATGCAAAGGCATACAAAGTGAATATGGGGTGGAACAGCAGCCTCCATATAACCAATATATAATTAAAGTTAAACACATATCCAATACACAAGTAGTTACACAAAGTCAGCCATTTTCATTGTACATGCTCATTGTGCAAGTTGGTCTTGTTACAATATTTATGTTTCAGAACCCGTGCTAGGGCAGCCATATAGAGTATGGGTCTGAGTATATCAGAGTGGTGGTACAGCAGTATCCATGTATCCAATATAAAATTAAACTTAAAACTAGAGTTGAGTGAACCCGGACTGTAAAGATCAGGTTTGTATCGAACATTACGTTTTTTGGACACCGGACTCGAACACGGACATATCACTGTATGTTGGAGTTCGGTGATCGGCGATTTAATGGCTCATTTTGAAAGGCTGCAGGGCAGCCAATCAACAAGCATTTGACTTGTGTGCCCTTAGAAGCCATCACAGCCATGCCTACTAATGGCATGGCTGTGATTGGCCAGTGCAGCATATGACCCAGCCTCTATATATAAGCTGGAGTCACGTAGCGCCGCACGTCACATGAGCTCTTATTAGTGTAGGGAGAGGATGCTGCCGCTTTCAGGGACAGTTTAGGAAAGAATTCTGCAAACTAGTACATTAGTGGGGTGCAAATCATATCTGAGAGTCAAATAGAAGCGTCAAATACTGTGGTTACATCAGAGTTTTAAAAAGTCAATTTTTTGGGGCACTATATAGAACATTTGGGGTGTGCACTTCATATCTGAGAGTCAAATAGGAGCATCAAATACTGATGTTACATTGCAGTTTTAAAACTTAAAAATGTTTGGGTGCTAAAAAGTACATTAGTGGGGTGCACTTCATATCTTAGAGTCAAACAGAAGCGTCAAATAGTGCGGTTAAAGCGCAATTGTAAACATTCTTCTTTTCTGGGTGCTAATCTGCTAAGTAGTAAATTTGGGGCGTGCTCTTCATATCTGAGAGTGAAACAGAAGAGTCAAATACTGCGGTTACAGCCCAATTGTAAACATTCTTATTTTCTGGGTGCTAATCTGCTAAATAGTAAATATGGGCCCTGCACTTCATATCTGAGAGTCAAATAGAAGCGTCAAATACTGCGGTTTACAGTGCAGTTGTAGAAATTCTAATTGTTTTGGTGCTGAACTGCTAAATAGTACATTTGGGGCATGCTCTTAATATCTGAAAGTCAAATAGAAGCATCAAATACTGCAGTTACAGCGCAATTGTAAACATTCTTATTTTCTGGGTGCTAATCTGTTAAATAGTACATTTGGGGCGCGTTCTTCACATCTGAGAGTCAAATAGAAGCGTCAAATGCTGCAGTTACAGCGCAGTTGTAAACATTTTAATTGTTTTGGTGCTAAACTGCTAAATAGTAAATTTGGAGCGGGCTCTTCATATCTGAGAGTCAAATAAAACTGTCAAATAGTGCTGTGACATAGCTGTTTTAAACATTCAAGTTTTTTGGCTGTTAAATAGTACATTTGCGGCCTGCAGTGCACTTAATATCTGAGAGTCAAATAGAACCGACAAATACTGTGGTTACAGTGCAGTTTGACCAATTCAATTTTTTTTGGCTCCTATATTTGCGGCCTGCACTTCATATCTGACAGTCAAATAGAACCGTCAAACACCAAAATAACAATATTGTAATTCGAGGGCAATACCCTCACAAGTCAAACTAAGAGGTCAATTTATAGGGAAAACTGTTGCCTGGATACAATTCTAAAACAATTCCCATATGTCCTTTGCAGAGTTTACATGCTGGAAAAACACAGGTGCCAACTGCTGTGGCTTTCTGCAGTGTGCAGACCGGCAAGGAGAGCAGGGTTGAGGAGTGGGAGGAAGATGATGTAGAGGTTGATGAGGTCCTAGAGCCCACATGGAATCAAGGTCATGCGAGTGACGTGTGCAGTTTGGAGGAAGAGGCGCTGGCACCAGCACAGCATCAGAGGGAGCAGGGTGCAAGAGCAGAGCGGCCGTCCCCTAGCGCTGGTCGGCATGTATTATCATTAGAATTTCCACAGTTATCTAAGTAACAGATGGAGCAATAAAAGGAACCATAACAGGTTTAGCGAGCCATTCGCAGTTTCGCAGTCCGGTGACTGGGACCCAGACACTGTCTGGGAGGCAGTCGGACGACCAGGACCCAGTATGCCTGATGTTGAAGTTAGGAGTCACAGTGTGGAATGGATTAGCAGGGTCTGGTGCAGGGTAACCGCACGCCACCTGGTGCTGAACACCAGTGTTTGTGCGGCCACATACCAGGACCCTGATGCAGCTTCAGTAAAAAGATTACTGGATACCAGAAGCCCTCACCAGACTGATCCGTAACTTGGAACAGGATGTGACATTCACTGTAGCGGCTGTGCACACTTTCGGCATTCTCACCCTGCTGCTGCTCGCCTGTCTGCGCTGCAGTGTAACTTCGGCCTTCCCGCTCACCGCCTCATGGGACTGTGCGAGCAGCAGCAGGAGATAGTGGAGTTTCAGCTGCAGCACGCACGGGTCAGTCACTCTGCACCAGACTTGCCCTCCAATTGATCAGAGTTAAAGGATTTCAAGTGGACTCATTACAATTACAGGGCCTCTAAAGTGTCCTGTATTGTTATTTGTCATCACTACCTTCCCGCGTCGGGAGTGGGTCATTTGTGCGCCTGCTGCCTTCCTCGCATGTGGTAGCCGTTTCTCAGGCTCCCTCTTCGCAATCGAACCCTGATTCCCCGTTACCCGTGGTCACCTTGGTAGGTGCAGAAAGTGGCATCGAAAGTTGATATGGATGACGTACGAATGCGTCGCCACCTTGTTGTTGGGGAGCCCATTGAAAAAGTGCTCTAGCATGACGAGCTGGGTGATCTCCTCCGGGAACTTGGCTTGATGGGAGTTGAGCCAGTTCTGGGTGGCCCTTGTGATGTGGCATGGGAGTCCTTCTCCCCTTTCCGGGTCTCCCCAAACTTTCGGCGGTATTGCTCGGGGGTGACCACATAGCGTGCCAGTAGGATTTGGGTAATAAAGAGTCTCTGAGCTGCTCTGCTGGTACAGCCCAATAAATATTCTCTGCCTTCCCCACTAGTTTGCTGGCCAGGATGGTGACCCAGTCACTGGGGTCCATGTCTTGGAGTAGGCACTGGCGCTCAAAGTCTTGTAAAAAGTCATCTATGCCTTCTTCCTTGAAGTCTTTGAAGGCATTGTATGGTAGCTTGTGGGCCAGGGTGATTGTGCTTCCCGGTGCCCTCTGCCTCCTCCTCCTACTCAGCTTCTTCCTCCTCCTCCTCTACCACCTCCTCATCCGGTCAGTGTAACACCTTTACCACCAACTTCAGCACAGCCAGGGGGAAACGACAGCAGGCTGTTTTAAAACTCATATTTGGGGGAAAAACCCCACACTGTGCAGGAGCTATGGACGTGCATGGAACAACAGACTGATGAGTGGTTGTTGCCACTGAGCCTCAAGCCCGGCCTGGTGGTGTGCGATAATGTGCAAAATCTCATAGCAGCTCTAGGCCTACCCGTTTTGACGCACATCCCTTGCCTGGCGCATGTGCTGAATTTGGTGGTTCATAAATTCCTGAAAAACTATCCAGATATTTCAGAGCTGCTGCAGAAAATGTGGGCCGTCTGTGCGCGCTTTTGGCCTTCTCACCCTGCTGCTGCTCGCCTGTTTGCGCTGCAGCATAAATTCGGCCTTCCCGCTCACCTCCTCATGAGACTGTGCAAGCAGCAGCAGGCGATAGTAGAGTTTCAGCTGCAGCACGCACGTGTCAGTCGCTCTGCGGAACAGAGTTTTCTTTTTTATATGTCCAAATATTTTGGGGGCTGCCCCAATTAAAAAAAAAAAAACTGTGTTGGCTACCTCCTCCACCGCTGCTTCCACCTACATCGCCACGGTTACAGCCTCCTCAACCTATGGGTCACTTAGTATAAACTACATACACAATAGCAAAGACTTGTGAAGGCCTTTTCTCCATGCATCAGGAGTTGAGCATTTCTCCATGCATCAGGACTGCAAGAAAGGCAACGCAGGCCACAAATGTTTCTTTTTTTATATGTCCCAATATTTTGGGGGCTACCCCAATTAAAAAAAATATATATATATATATATATATACGTATATATAAAAAACAGTGTTGGCTACCTCCTCTTCCTCCACCGCTGCTTACACCTACACCGCCACGGTCACTGCCTCCTCAACCTATTGGTCACTTAGTATAAACTATGTACACAATAGCAGAGGCTTGTGAAAACACTGCACTCCAACCCTCTCTCAAATGGATAATTCTGGTGATCCTCCTGACAGCCATGCTTTTGATTTTGATTTATATTCTTCCAAAGCTAAAATCAAAGATTCCATCTAGTGCTCTCTTATGGCTCAGCTGTATTTTTAATTTTTATGTTATTTTAAGTGATTTCCCTATCCACATTTGTTTGCAGGGCACTTGTCCTACTCTTACCCCATTTTACTTCTTTTTGCAGCCCTCTCTCCCTTTCCAGGATGTTTTTAGAGGCATTTTCATGCCCAAACATTCAGGTCCCCATTGACTTCAATTGAGTTCGGGGTCAAGTTCGATCCCGAACCCGGACTTTTTTTCAAAGTTCAGCCGAACCCGCCGGACCCGAACATCCAGGTGTCTGCTCAACTCTACTTAAAACCATAACCAAAACTGCAATATTTACATATATGTAGCCATAACCACAGTATGACCAGCAGCAGTTCAACATTAGAGAAATTATAAGTAGACAGATTGTTGTCATCTGAGGTTCTGCTAAGGCGGGTACAGTTGGGGAGTGGGTTGGAATGGTCTTGAAACCAGATTACATATTATATATACTATATATATTATATACATACTTAGGCCAATTACTAATAATTTGGGAATGCATGGACCCCTTCCTTGGAGTGTATGTGTCTCCCTATTAGGATATCTGTTTCGTCATTGTGGTGTTGGTCATAACAAAACTTGTTTGTTTTTTTGTTTGGTTTTTAACATATGAACAGATTTGGGTTATACTCAGCACTCAATTAATGTATTTAGTAAATCCTATCAGCCTAGGTGTGAGTATCAACATATAACCCATATATATGGTTGTTATTATTTACCCTCATTTTGATTCTCTATGTTTACCAGTAGGTAAGTGTGTACAACAGTGATGAGCCTTTTGTGGCTTTGCCTTATTACAAGGACTTGGAAGCATTTGGGCCTCAGTCTGCAAGGGGGGTTCTTCTATTGTTGGTGAGTAGTCCTTCAATATACCCCAACTCTGCAGAACCTTGTTTCCATCTTCAGGGTTGTGTATGAAATTCATTAAGCCTTTCCTTCGTATGAGTAGTTTTGGTGGGAATTCCCAACGGTATGGGATCTTATGGTTGTGGAGCACTTTAGTCGTGTTGATAAACTCCCTCCTTCTATTCATTGTGGTAGGTGACAGGTCAGCAAAAATAGATATTCTCTTTATAGTTGATGGTAAGTTGGTCGCTGTCCTATCTGCTTGCTGGATTGCTTCCTTGATGTGAAATTAGTGGAACCTCACCACAATATCTCTTGGTATCTCCTGTGCCAGCGTATGGGGCTTCTGGACCCTGTGTGATCTGTCCAGGAGCAATTCTGCATCAGTGGCTTTGAGCAGAAGTAGCTTAAGAATGTGAGTAGGTATTGAGGTATTGCTTCAGTACTTACCTCCTCTTTTACTCATCTAATCCTGACATTGTTGTGCCTGGATCGATCCTCTAGGTCAGTCATTTTCCCCAGCCCTGCAGCATGGTTGGCTTTTATCTTTACGATTTTGTAGACTATTTCATTATTTGCCATGCATAGCTCATCCATGCGGTTTTTCAGAGCATCCATTCTGGATCCTTGATCATGGAGTTCTCTCCTGAGGTCTTCCGATATTCCTTTATAGTCTGCTTTTACAGGTGTTGCGGAGTTGTTGGAGCATATCTCCCAATCTTCGCTCTGTTATTGGGCAGTCTTCATCTGGTAAGGCAGATGAGTCTGTGTCTGAACCAGCCTCCAACATAGCTGTTGGCGAGGAGAGTCTTACGCCATCTTGACTAGGCAGCGGTTTATCTTTCTTCTGGAAAAAATAATGCACTTTTTTTTTTTTTTTGCGGTGCCATCATGTTCAGTGGTGTATTGTGCCCTTCGTGTGTCAAAGTGGGCCCTTTTGGATTATTTACATATATATACATATATTTCTATTTTGGACTTTACTAATCTATCTCTTCTTATTGTTACATATATCCCCTGAGAGACACCGGATTTGGGTGTTGGGCTGCCTTATTGAACTGCATCAGTATCTGACAAGCACTGAATTTTCTTCTTTTTTAAGTACTCACACCTTCCGACTGCTAGCTGCCTTTTACATATTAGCCTAGGGACTCAAATACTATTTCTCATCTTTATCCTTTCCTATCCCTCTTTTCTTCTTCTTTTTCTCTTTTCCCTAATCTACAACTTGTTTGTATTATAATCCTACTCCAACCCCTATAATCGAAGATACATCAAACAATGAGCAATATCGAATTACAACAAACTATTGAATGTAATAATATATTATAACAATTGTTATATTTGTACTTAGCTTGAATCACTTAATTAAGTTCTAAGTAAGTGGGAATATCTTGCTGGACCAGTGACTTTCAAGATAGTCACATAGTTACATAGTTACATAGCTGAAAAGAGACTTGTGTCCATCAAGTTCAGCCTTCCTCACATTTGTTTTTTGCTGTAGATCCAGAAGAAGGCAAAAAAAAAAAAAACAGTTTGAAGCACTTCCAATTTTGCAACAAACTAGGAAAACAAATCCTTCTTGACCCCAGAAAGGCAGTCAGATTTATCCTTGGATCAAGCAGCTATTAACCTATATTGAAATATTACATCCTTGAATATTCTGTTTTTGCAAGTATGCATCTAGTAGCTGTTTGAACATCTGTATGGACTCTTAAAAAAACAATTCTTCAGGCAGAGAATTCCACATCCTTATTGTTCTTACAGTAAAAAAACATTTTCTTTGCCTTAGACAAAATCGTCTTTCTTCCAGTCTAAATGCATGACCTCATGTCCTATGTAAAGTCCGGTTTGTGAATAGATTTCCACACAATGGTTTGTATTGGCCCTGAATATATTTGTATAATGTTATCATATCCTCTCTCAGGCAACATTTTTCTAAACTAAAGAGGTTTAAATTTGTTAACCTTTCTTCATAGCTGATAGCCATACTGTAAATAATGAAAGATTCTCCAGAATATCCAGTTAGAGTAATTCCCTCTTATGTTATATACTCATGTTACCTTGTTCCTATTGTATCAATAAAATATGTTGGTTTTCATTATATGCTGTAATTGAATACTGCATTATTTCAGCAGCAGTTCTGTGAAGTATATATGTACTGTAATGTTTTATTATACACTTTGTTACATACTTGTAAAAACTGTAAACGGATGATGCTGTAATATGCCTTTGTCCATGATGTAACAACAATGAAAAATGTCAACAACAACAAAAATCAGGAATATTGCACCCAGACCATTTCATTGAGGTGAAGTGGTCTGAGTTACTTTAATTGTCATTTAATTAAACTAAGAGGTCACTAAGAGCCTTTTTTTAATATATTTTTTTTTAAATGGACCATCACTTTAAAAAGGTTAATATGTGTTTATAGGTGATTTTACAAGTTTTATCCAATAGTGTAAAAGTGATCATCTCCCATTAATGCACTGCAGGTTAATCATTATTTTGTGAAATGTGATTATCTGTACATACTACATATTTATTTGCCATTTTTTTTTTAAACAAGGGGTGTTTAAAGATGTGGAATCCTGTTGCATATTACACCTGTAGTGATTTGATTTATA